TCCGAGACACGGGTTGATCAGGCCCAGGCCCAAACCCGAGTGAATATCAAATAATTAATATTTTATAATGAACACGGAATACAAAATAAATTAAGAAATGAAATTAAAGCTGGAAGGAACTAAAAATAGAATCCGCAAAATATTATAATTATTAAGATCCATCAAACCCAAACTCCAAAACTCCATCAGTTTACAACTTGGGAATCCATCTCTAGTGGACCCCTATTAAACATCCAAACGGAAGATAGAACAAATGTAATAAACGTCCAGAAATAAAATTATAGAGAGAGCCCTACATCGTCGGAAGAGTGAATAGAGACCTCTGCTCAGCACGAACACGTCTAAGCCTGGAACTATCGTGTACCTGAAAAATAGAAGTGGGTCAGGCCCACGCGCAAGTTCTATACTACTACAATCCAAACAGAGGCCCGATACGCATGTACATCCTAAACAATTCAACAATAGCTAATAGTCCGTAAATATATATATAGTCACACTAAAGGACTCTCACTGGACTACAGGCCGGTCTCAACCTGAATAGAGGTAACATGCTAAAACGCACACGAAGTGGGCATATGTACCTATACCTAAACAGGGTACACCTCCAACCATCGTAGCCAGCTACACATCCCGATGCATATACGCTCCTTAGCCATCGGTCCTGAGGCTCAAGCTTATACCGAGGCACCATAACAGTACATATATAAAATCCATCCAAAATCCCTGGTATTGCCGCTCAACAAGTAGTTGCCATGACAATACAAATCCACGGGACTTAACTTTTAGTTAATCCCATTCTTATTCCAAGTAGGTGGGTAACGGTATTGTTTTAAAAACTAAACCCATCCTTAGTATGCCACCGTCCCATACCGGTGCCTACTTTCCAATCCTCCAGTAGTCAATAATACCAATAAATCAAGTATATATCAACTAAATTCCAACATCCAACATTCAATGTTAGCAGTGATAAAATAAGCATTGATAAACAGGGTCACAACAACAACATATACATGCCCAATTTAAGTTGTTCCCTTTAGTCTGATATAAAGACATAATTAATTAAAACTTCCATTTAACACCTTACAAATGACATACAGATATGTAGGGTATGTATCACAAAATCCTAACCTCCACAGTTGATACTAACTGTGATAATGTAAGTATCAAAACAATATTCACAGTATGTATGTAGACATGCTCAAATTATAGTGTTCCACAAAACCGATCTAGTGTTAAACTCAAATCCTCCTAGTATTTAAGTTCCAACAGTTGCTATTACAGAAGTTAAGATAGCTATCATCTAGACCCATCCTTCCAATAATTTATACTAGCAGTGGTAAGGAAAAACGTGAACCACAGAACCACAATGCATCCACAAACATGCTTAGTCTAGGTTGAACAAACATACAACACTACTGTAACTACCAGTTTCATAGCAAAACAGATATCATTTTAGTTTGGTTTAATCTTCATTAATCCTGGAATCATTTAAGCGTGCAAAGAGTATGAAGCCTAAGGGAAAGAGTAAGGATAGAATCTTGCCTCAGAAACTTTTGTTCAAAGTTTCAACGTCGTCTTCTTAAAAAATCTCGGCGAGTTCCAAAACCCGGTTACTGTTCACGGGTACGAAACACTATTCCCGAACTCAAAATTTGATCTCCACCGTTCAGATTGTGCGACACTGAGTCATGAACCTATCCTCCAAATTTCAGCTCGATCGGACCACGGACGAAGCAGGATCGGATGCTTGATGAAATCTGGGCAGAATGGAAAAAAACCTGTGCGACCCAGTTACTGTTCACGAGTACGAATCACTGTTCCCGAGGTCAAACTCTGATCTCCACCGTTCAGATTGTGCGTCACTGAGTCATGAACCTCTCCTCCAAAATTCAGCTCGATCGGACCACGGACGAAGCAGGATCGGATGTTTAATGAAATCTGGGCAGAATGGAAAAAAAAACCTATGCGACTCAGTTACTGTTCACGAGTACGAATCACTGTTCCCGAGGACAAACTCTGATCTCCACCGTTCAGATTGTGCGTCGCTGAGTCGTGAACCTCTCCTCCAAAATTCAGCTCGATCGGACCACGGACGGAGCGGGATCGGAGCTTTGATTAAACCTTGGCAAAATGTGAAAAACTGCGTTTTTCCTTCTCCACTTCCGCAAAACGTGTGCTTTGTTTAAAAAAAACCCTACACAGACGTCTACCTTATACTTATAGAGTTTTCCTAAACCCTAGGTTCATTTAAATCCAACTCACAATCCTAACTGGCCCATCCAATTAACGTAGAAACCTACGACGGCTATAATACAAAACCCTAATTTATACTGTAATTAAAACCCTAGTTAGATGTATTTACCTAATTACCCTATTCAGCATTAAATACTTAACAAATAATCTAATTGAACAAAATAATAATTAGTAAACCTAATTAAACCAAATAAGACACACATAAAATAAGACACATATAGAATAATTAAACCAATTACACTTAAACCATTAATGCCAATTAAATAATTAAAACACTAACAAGTAATTCTAATCAAATAACTAAACCAATTACACTTAAACGATTAATGCCAATTAAATAATTAAAACACTAACAAGTAATTCCAATCAAATAACTAAAAATAAATATCATTTAAATAAATTAAATCACCACAAAAGAAAACAATTAAGCACCTAATAAAAAAAATAATGACACATAATCAAATAAAATGCACTTAATTAATAAATTAAATACCATTAAATACCAGGAATATCCTTTTTAAAATTAGGGGTATTACAATATGTGTCGCTAAAACCGATGAATTTTGAATTAAAGTAGGAATCGAGATTGTCTTTTTCGGTGGTGGAGTCCATCTTCCAACATTGGCATGGCGCTCATCTTCAATGATCATGTTGTGAAGGATGATGCACGTTTTCATTATAAGGTACAAGTCCCCTTTATCCCAAAAACGCACTAGTACTTGCGTTATTGCTCACTTGATTTGCAAAACCCCAAAAGCTCATTCCATATCTTTCTTACAGGTCTTGTCTCTGAGCAAAAAGTTTTTCTTTTGTTATAGTAGGATGGTCTGCATTAAAATTGTCCACTTTGGGTATATACCATCAGATAGATAATACCTAAGGGTGACAATTCGTGTTTGTAGGTCGTGTTTGTGTCGTGTCAATGTAAAGGTATTATACTAAATAGGTAAACTCAAACCCAATCCATTTAATAATCGTGTCAAGAATCTTCAAGACTAACCCAACCTGTTTATTAAACAGGTAAACGTGTTAACCCATTTAATGACCTGTTTATTAAAACGAGACACTTAATATTTAATTAAATACTAAATAATAGTAAAAATTGTCTTAATTAACCTAAATATTCAAAATAAAAAGAAAAGTCATAAGGTATAGACAAGGTTTATGTTGAAATGACTTAACATCCATAGTAATTGGGTTTAAATAAGTAATATATTACATAGGTCATATTCACGATTATAACATGTTGAGTTAAATGGGTCATAAACGGGTTACACGGGTTGAACTCCTCAACCCTAACCCAACACGGTTAAGTAAACGAGTTAATCATGTCGACCCTTTTATGATCCAAACCCGTTTATGCCAAACCCAAACACTTTTAACTCGTATTCGTAATTTGTCACCCTTAGTAATACCCCATTCTATGGTAATTGCCATTCATAACGAAATTAACTGGAGAAATTTGGCAAGTAACGATATTGTCGAATATCGGAGAATTATCCAGCACATTAATATCATTGTGTGAGCCCAGTATTCCAAAAAATGCATGCCAGATCCACAAATCTTTTGAGGCACCGCCTCCAATATAAGCGTAGGCGTATGAGAGCGTCATTTGTGCGTGCTACCACGACATCGGACAATTCTTCCACTCTTAGTGCATACAGTCGATAGAATCAAGTATACCCGGGAATCCTCTTTCCTCCCCTTCTTGAAATAGTCGTGCTATGTCGGCTTCGTTGGGTGGGCGCATGTACTCTTCCCCATACACACTAACAATAGCCTTACAAAATGTCATCAGAGTTACTTATCAAAAAAAAAAAATGTCATCAGAGTTTCAATGGCAGTGCTCTCGCCAATTTTAATATACTCGTCACAATGATCGGTTATACGACCATATGCGAGTATATGTATTGTAGATGTCATCTTTTGTATAGAAGACAACCCTAAACGACCTGTTATAGCCCTTTTTTGGATGAAGTAGTCGTCATAAGCTTTAACATCATTCAGGATATGAAAAAATAGTTCTCGTCGCATCCTGAATCGTCTGTGAAAGTACTCCGATGGATATGTGCAATTCTCGCCAAAGTACTCTTTCATTAGTTGACGGTGGCTTCCCTCTTGATCATAATGAATGTATCGCCTCTTACGAGGTTTAAAGACTTGCTTTACTATCTCTGGGTTCACTGAATTCAAAATCGAACAAAAGGCGTCTTGATTATGTTGAATTAACGCATCAATAGGGTTATCTGATGAAGAGGATGATGAAAAAGATGATGAAGAATTAGAGTCTTATAAAGGAAAAAATCGTGATGAGGAAGCCATTGGAATTTTGAGATTAAAGAAGATGTGAATTGATATTTTGCTAGAATGATAAAGATGAATGTAATGATGATGAGATGAACAAATGATTGTTTATATAAGATGAAAAATATAGTCGTTATAAATAAATCTGTTAGAAATATAGCACTTAAGAAAAAGTTAAAAAATAAAATTTATTAAAAATTTTAAAAATATTAAGATATTAATATTTTTGGAGACCGAAAATGCACCATTAGAGTACATGCAATAGTTAAAATTTGAAAACTCTAAAACGCTGACGTGATTATGAGAAATGCTAACGTGGCTATTGAAAAATACTAATGTGGAAAATTCGAAGAGCCTAATTCTAGAGAGCCCATTGGAGGTGCTCTAAAATCATCAAATTGGTATTTTGATTTTTGACCACTATTCACGAAACGTTTCGGCACTTTAGAAAACAAAATATTTTTACCAAATATGCCATTGTTTACTGTTACAGTACTTAAAAAAAAAACATACACCAAAATCAAAATTAATTCTCAACTTGATTCAAACTTAAAATTTTGGTTGTGGAACTCGAGGTTAAACAGTCAAAAGCAGACTTGCTCGTTTGCGGTCCTACCCACAATGGAATTGCAGAGGAACATAACAAAATCTGGACATGTGGAAAAAGTAACATATAGCTTCATCTCCCCCAACCCAGAATCAAAATGTCTTATAGTTTCAATCATCCAATCCTGAAGTAGCAAAGTTGTGCCTGAAAAAAATTTGAGTCTTGAATTAAAAGTGTACAGGTTGATTTCTTACTGGACAAATTTGTACCAGTTATAAAGAAAATATACCAATTGATTTTACCTTCTACATAAATGAATTTACAACTTCCCAAGTTCAAAATTTTTCATACCCTTTTTCGGTTCTGAACACACCCATCTACACTCAAGGTAGGTTCAAATCTAACTATAGAAAATTAGCCACTAAAACCGAAGCAAATTTTGTGGTTCCTGGTGATGTTTTCGAAACTATTCACATAAAAAAGTTGACATCTGCTTCTGTGCTAAGAGCATTGCAATTGTTACAATGTTTTTGTACATGAAATAAAACAAAATGATCGATAATTTTGAACAGAACCATACATTTTTAATGACAAGACAAACAAAATGAGGTAGTTTATTCCTAAATGGAAGAAATTCTATAGTCGGCAAAATGATTCTACGTAATATAATATATATACACAAATAAACCGTAAAGGTTTCATTGTTTCTGCAATCATCCTAGGCATGTAACAGAGAAGCCATGGACTTGCATGCAATGCTTCTGAGGCTTAAGGTGAGAGGGGTGATACTAGCAGCGATAATAGCTAGAGTTGCTACCGCTCAAGGCATGCCTGGCTGCAAAGATAGATGTGGGAATCTTAAAATTCCATATCCGTTCGGGACGAGCCAAGGCTGCTACCTAAACGAGTCATTTCTGATCACATGTACCAAATCCAAAACGTATCTGAACGGTAATTTATCTGTCCTGAACATAGCACTCAAGGGTCAACTGCGAATTTTGTCCCCGATTGCCACTGTTTGCCGTGGCTTGCAGGCTAATTACACCACCAAGGATCAACAACTTTCAACTAGTTTTCCCCTCTGAAGTACAAGAAACAAGTTCATTGCCGTAGGCTATAATACTACAGGAGCCATCCGTGTCTTTCTGGGGAAAACTTACACACCCGCGAGTTGCAAGTCTTTTTATAACATGACCTATAAATTAATCAATGGATTGAGCTCAGGCATGGGCTGTTGCCAGACCTTCATTTCCAAAGGATTACGGGACTTCAAGATAGTGGTAGAGAACTATTTTGGCTATGTGAATGTATTCAACTACAGCTTGTGCAGCCACGCCTTTGTGGTCGAACAAGAGTATTATGACTTCTCGTCGCTAGATCTTTATAGCAACTTAACCGACCTCAATCCATACCCTATGGTGCTAGATTGGGCAGTCGGTGAGACAAAATGTGAACAAGCTAAAAAGAACAAGACAGGTTATGTATGTCAGGAGAATAGCGAGTGCTATGACTGGGATGGTGGGGCAGGATATCACTACAGATGCTCTAAGGGTTACCAGGGGAACCCATACCTCCCAAACGGTTGCTAAGGTACTTATTTTGTATATCGTTCTTCTGGGCTATGGAGTTTTTGCACAAATATACACACACACACATATATATATATATATATATATATATATATAAAATATTTTTTTAATTAATTGGTTTCAGATGTCAATGAGTGTGACGATGATCAAGGCCACAATGATTGCACACACATCTGTAGGAACACTGCTGGGAGATATGTTTGTCTTTCTCCCAAGGGTTACCATGGAGATGGCAGAAAGGGTGGACAAGGTTGCTTGCAAACTAAGGCCACTGTGGGTAAGTAAAGATAAAACTTTTTTGCGAACCTCATAGAAAGTAGTCTCTAAAATAATAAAGAAACATCTTGATAACACTACGCGAACCATTTAGTTATAAACTTGAATGCACTGGATACAGTGCCTCTATTAAAAGTAAAGCATGCAATTTTAAGAACCAAACACATGCTTCATTTTTTCTATCTTCTCCAATCAATAATATTTGTCAATTATAAGCAAAACTACTTGAGATAAATATTTCGCCTCCCTTAAATATAGGTATGAGAATGAGCCTTGTGTTTATGTTTGTTATCATCTGTGTCTTATATTGGGGAGTCCGCAAAAAGAAGATCATGAAGCGCAGGGAAACTTTTTTTAAGCAGAACGGTGGTATAATGTTACAACAACTGCTTTCCAACTGCAAAAGGAAAGGTTCTGCTCAAGGAGCCAAGATTTTTACGGAAGAGGAGCTCAAGAGAGCAACAAACAACTTCGGTGATGGCAATGTTATTGGTCAAGGAGGTTATGGCACAGTTTGTGCAGGAACTCTAAAAGATGATTTGGTTGTCGCCATCAAAAAGTCCAAGGTGGTAGATCGAGGCCAAATTGAGCAATTCGTTAATGAGGTAGTTATTCTCTCCCAAATCAAGCATCCAAATGTGGTGAACCACTTGGGTTGTTGCCTAGAAACACCAGTTCCCCTACTATTATATGAATTTATCACCAACAAAACCCTCTTCCACCATTTACATGATGAAGGTCGTGTATCCTCAATGCCATGGGAACTGCACTTGAGAATAGCAGCAGAAACTGCTGGAGCACTTGCGCATATGCATTCTTATCCAATAACTATAATTCATAGAGATGTCAAGTCTGCCAACATTCTATTGGATGATCATTACACTGCAAAAGTATCCGACTTTGGAGTTTCAAGATTGCCCACATTGGTGCAAGGGACATTTGGTTACTTAGATCCCGAGTACTTCTATTCAGGCTTATTAACCAAGAAAAGCAACGTCTATAGCTTTGGAGTTGTCCTTGTAGAGCTACTAACTGGAAAGAATGTGTTCTCTCTGGATAGACCTGAAGAGGACAGGGGTCTAGCTATGTATTTCGTTTCTTCGCTCAAAGAAGATCACTTGCTTCAAATCCTGGAGGATCGAGTGAAGAAAGAAGGAAATGCTGAGCAGCTAAAAGGAGTAGCTGAGGTAGCAAAAAAATGCTTATGATTGAAGAGACGCAAAAGGCCTACCATGAAAGAGGTAAAAGAGGAGCTTGAGGCACTGAGAAACTCCGAAATCAACCATGGATCAGAATTAGACCATATATATAAGAAATGAAGCCCTAGTTAGTGAACCATTCAACTACACACAAGCAATACGTTTAGTCGATCTAAAGAACCCAACGTATAGAAGGTTGATGGTGGGCTAATAATTGGTCTTGTGGATTGCAGTAAGACACCAATATGCATACCTATCCTGAAAGAGAGAAATTTATGTACTGTTTTTTTTTGTTGTAATCTTGTATTGATTGCTTCACAAATCCATACAATGAACTGTGTAACCATAAATGACTAAGATCATACATACATGAAAGAATCCCTGAAGTGATAGTTTCAGCTCCAAACTGTAAGACATTTTGATTTGCCCCGGCTTACTCAGAATGAGAAGTCCAATAAATCAGTCCACTGCAAAGAACAATATTTTTGTTATTGGATAGAATGACACAGGAGGACATTTTTTTGTCCACCCCTTTCTGGTTGTACTCGAGAATACTACATCATACAGTCATGAATGACGTGAGAACATTTGCGAATTTGCAGTGTGGTTACACATACGTGTGTGTGTGTGTGAGAGAGAGAGAGATAGAGAGAGGACCATTTAGACCAAGTGCATAAACATTCAATAATGTTAAGTGAAAAACGGAACACAGGAAACAATATTAAAGCTTAAAAAAGGCAATTACCTGATAAACACGAACACACACTGCAAAACACCTGCAGTTCTTGTTGACGCTGAAGGGCCTGTTTTCACAATTGAATTTTGAATTAATAAACCTACTGAAGCCGCTAGAGAGACAAAAGATACAACATAAGCGAGGAAAAGCCAGAGCTTCAACCTGCAATTTTGGAAATTTGAAAAAATAATGAGGATTACTTCTGTTGATCCCAACAAGCACATAGATGATGCTAAGGCTATAATCATTCACAATTCAGTTTAATCAAGAAGACATGTAATAAGATACTTCTAATTAGTATTTTACTTCTGTTTGACTTTAAACTAGACTTGGATTAATCACGTAAAGGACAGCCTGCAAGCCACGGTACACTTGCAAAGAGCCTCCTCGCATTTACAACTTCTGCATGCCCCCCATTCCAACCGCCCAAACACATGCATGGTTGTTTTTAGTATTTAGTTGCTTCAGTTAAATCGTTAAATCAGAGACCTGTAACCTGATATTGATGTCAATACAAAATTACTAAAATGGAATTTAAGGGATCCTTGTTGATTTGCTACTTGAAATTAATTTTTATCTTCTAACAACGAAACCAAAAATTTCTTACATTAGCTTCAATATTGGAGTTCATACGTTATAGTTATGCAAACTAATTCACAATGTAAGAGTAACCTATGATGGCAAAAATCAACTAAGAAGTACTTTTGCCAGCAACGCTAAAGATTATGACAGTGTGTGAAAAGAAGAAGAAGAAGAAAACTACTGAGGAGAAGATATTAGTTAACTAACTAACATTATCTTTTAACGCATTTATTTTCAGTCATATTAAGGCCTTTACCTAGTGTGATTTCTTTAATGGGAATGCGCCGCATGGAACGGAAGATGTAACTTAACTTTTTGCAACATATGAATGAAGCATAAAACCCCTACAAGAACCCAAGGGGATAGCCTAAAGACCAGGTTCGCACCGGAGGTGGAGAGTTTGAATCCTCTCACTCCAGAGAATTTCTTAGTAATTGTTCAGTGCATGTGGGACGGAGGATTGCATGAGTTCATTCATGAATTATGGGGTGTTCTAAAAGTCTGACATCACCAAAAATATAAATAAAATAAAGGGTTAACTTCAGTTACACTCCCTGAAGTATGTTCAAACTTCAAGGTGACTTCCCACATTTATAAAAATTCAATTAGACCCTTGTCAGACATTGTCGGCAAATAAATGAGTGGCATGACTAATTTACCCTTTTTGTCCTTATCCCATATAAGCTTAACCAAACACCAAACTCCCACCTAACCTACCCTATCTCTTGAACCAAACAGTAAAATTGTATTTAAAAAAAAAAAAAAAAAAAGTAAAATTGTTTCTTTTTCCCTAATTCCAATACTGTATGAAAGCATACCCAGTTGCCTAAGGCCGGACTGAACTTACCGGCGGACCAAATGACAACGACGCTATGATAATGTGAGCAAGGAATTCGGCAATTGGGCAAACACCGCAAGCACGAGGGAGTGGCCGAACTGTAGTCGATTGGTGAGAATGAGATCGGTTTCGTGATCTTTTCAGCCCAGTCTAAGAAATTTATGTTTCTCTTTAATTAAGTTTTCTTCCCTACAGATGTTCTTTTTTATTTTTTATGATAACCAGGGGGAAAAAAAAAGAGCAAAAATAAAAAAACCATGCAAGCAGATGAATATAATTTTAATGAAAATGTCACCTGTCCAGAGTATGGGAAACCCTCTTCATTAGCCTTCCTCCCTGGAGGAACAAGAGGAACCAGTTCGTGAAGCCAATCAAGGAAGCGAAAGGTCTGGTCGCCAAGATCTCCGATGCCGTAGGGTCCGGGAAATGACGTCGGGTGGAGGAGGACGCCGGCTCTTCTGCGGTCGCTAGGATGGGACTTGGGAAGCCAGTCGGCGTAGTCGACCGGCAAGTCCTCGCCGACGGTAGCAAGGTCGGCAGAGCAGGTGGAGGAGTTGTTGAATTGCATTGTGAAAGTTCTCCTGGGTTGTTTTGGGGTCTGAGGCGATTGAATAATAGTAGATTAGTGGTGGAGGTTGAAGAGAGAGAGAGTGAGGAAAAGTAATTATAGATCTTGATTCTCACACAATTTCTCTAACAGTGTTTTCATCTTCCTCCCTTGTTTGAATCATAACTTCAAACCCTTCCACGACTACTTGAATATACTTTATTGGAGATTAGCTTTGTTATTTTTCCCGGTAAATTTTATTTTATTTTTTTATTAGAGTCAGTTGCTCATTCATCCTATATCCTACATATAGTAATATCAATCGTGGAAGCTACTTACACTTTCTATTTCCTGATCTGATGACATTTTTTTGTGGTTGGGAAAGTGCCGTATATATTATATATATATAACCGTTATTGTTATATATCCACCTTCTTCACAGGCGCCCAATCCCCATTGAACAGCGAGCAAGGAAGAAGCGGTGATGACAGTATATATATATATATATATATATATATATATATATATATATATATATATATATATATATATATATAGTCCTGATCTCTTACTCTCCATGGAGCAAGAAAAATAATCCACCCTTTCTATATAGACCGTTAGATTAATCTAACAATCATTTTACAAACCCACCAATGGCTTTTCCTTTTAACACAAAACCACTCTCATCCTATTTTTAGTTTCTATAATTAATTTTACCATTACCACCCACTGTAACAATAAAAGGTAATTATCAAAATAAAAATAGAAACCTTTGAAAAAAAATTAATTCCCTTATATTTTACTAATAAATTTGTTTTTATTTAAATGTTTCTTTGAAAGGAAAAACAATATCCGTATATTGCTAAGAGGCTTAATAGTGTCTGGGGTGCCTGGTTTTTCTTCAGTTTTTATTTTAGACCAACTTTGAATGAGAAATCAAAGAGTAAGATCACTTGGGAGAGTAATTGGGTTGGTGGGTATGATAAATTAGACTTGAAGCTTGATGTTTTCATGGTTCAGCATGGTATGGAGAATATGTATATGTGGGTTTTCAAAGAGAGGTTTGAAAATGCAATGGGAAAGATGCAGCTGAGATGTTAAGCAGTGTGTACGATTCCGAGATTTAGAGGTGTTTCATGTTGTTTTAGAACCAAAGCTCTCATGGAAAGAAGTATTATTGTTATAGTTATTTGTGCGTGCACGTGTGTATAATTATAATATTATACAACTGAATAATGAAATCATATGACATTGACTTTATTCAAAATTGTTAAAGCTTAAACTAAATAAAATGAAAACAAAAAATTTAATCTTTTTGTAAAGGGATGAAACTTAACAAAATTTAAAACATTTAATTCTCAAAGCCTTAAAGTAAACTCTTCCTCGACAAATAAAAGTAAAGCTACGGGAATTAATTTTTTTTTCAAAGGTTTCTATTTTTACCTTTTATAATTATCTTTTATTGTTATAGTAGATGGTAATGGTAAAATTAATTATAGAAACTAAAAGTAGGGTGAAAGTGGTTTTGTGTTAAAATGAAAGATCATGGGTGGGTTTGTAAAATGACCGTTAGATTTAATTTAACGGTCTATATAGAAAGTGTTGATTATTTTTCTTGCTCCATGGGGAGCAAGAGATCAGGGCTCTCTATATATATATAGTATAACCCTGTTTGGTTACAAGCATATTGCTATTCCAAATTATGTGCAATTCCATATCCAAATAAAATGTTATATATACAATTTCACCGAACATGGTCATTGGAGGGCAATTTGGACATTATTTTTTACCTTTCTTTATGATGTCAGCAAAAAATGTCTTTGACCAGCTTTGACCGTTGACTGAGGGGGAGACTGATGTGTGTCAAAAAAAGTAAGGGGCCTGATTGAATTTTTGCAAACGTGGGGGGTCTCCTTGAAGTTTGGACATACCTCAGGGGATGTAACTGAAGTTAACCCTAAAATAAAAGCCCATCTAATAACAAGATAGATGACATTATATTATATTCTCACTAAATTTATGGTCCACCCACAATCAAACCCTATAATATTAAAAGAGTTCATCAAAAGCCATTTAATTTCAATTACCTTAAAAAAAAAAGAAAAAAAAAGAAAAAGAAAAAAAAAGAAGAGTAATGAGCATCATCATCATCCCCAAAACCACATATTATATGCACACTACATATGCGTATATATGTATAATTATACAAACAATAAGATAGTCAATGTCCTCTGTTCTGACACAGTTGAACATCAACGCAGCCAGAGATATAAATATACCTAGGAAGAACAGAAGGATCATAATTCAATTAAAACTTAAATAATTGTATTTCAACCATAATATATATATATATATATATATATATATATATATATATAGGGAGAGAGAGACAGAGACAGAGACAGAGACAGAGAGAGGTTAGTACCAATTACCAGGGAGGTAGCGGAGGAAGGAGACCACCACCCGGCACCGAATAGTAAGTGAAAAGATTATACAGTACTTCTTAACTAACTAATCTTACCTCTCTCTGCAAATCTCTTTTTACACATCTATAAGCACAAAATTTATTTCCTTTTCAATTTCTTTTTACATCAGCCCATAAGAAGTAATTCATCTCATTTAAATTCAAGTTTATTTCAAACACACAAATATAATTATATTTAATTCCAACTCAATTTCTTTTCTAATTCCAATTTTAAATCTAAGAATTTGATCCGATTGGTAATTAAAAAGAAAGATAGGTTAATTTTAATTACTTATGTTGCATGGCTAGAGTGTTTTTAAAAAGTAAGATTGGTTAAAATGTAAATATAAGGAATTAATTGAATTTTTTTAAAAAAATGGTGTTCATTAACATAAAATATTTTTTGATTAAAAAATTATTAAGTTGTTGTTGTGGAGTAGATTTAATTACCTAATTCTTTAAATGATAAGCTAATGTGGATGTGGTTCAACCACGTTACCAAGGGCTAGGTCAAGATGACCCCATTATAATACACAAACGGTCAACACTTAGACAAAAGCCACGTCTGCGGAACAAGTAATAATCGACCACTGGGCCTAGAAACTTGGTCCAACTCAGCAATCGGTCGATAGGCCTTGAACCTCGAGCTGACCTAGCCACAAACTGTCGATCGATGGGCCTTGAACCTCGATCCGACCTAGCCACAAAACTGTCGATCGATGGGCCTTGAATCTCGATCCAACCTAGCCACAAAACTGTCAATCGACGGGCCTTGACCCTCGATCCGACCTAGCCACAAACTGTCGATCGACGGACCTTGAACCTCGATCCGACCTAGCCACAAAACTGTCGATCGACGGGCCTTGAACCTCGATCCGACCTAGCCAAAAAACTGTCGATTGATGGGCCTTGAATCTCGAGCCGACCTAGACACAAACTGTTGATCGATGGGCCTTGAACCTTGATCCAACCTAGCCATAAACTGTTGATTGATGGGCCTTGAACCTCGATCCGACCTAGCCATAAAACTGTCGATCGACGGGCCTTGAACCTCGAGCCGACCTAGCCACAAGCTGTCGATCGATGGGCCTTGAACCTCGATCCGACTTCTATCGATCGACGGGCCTTAAACCTCGATCCGATCTAGTAACAAACTGTCGATCGACGGGCTTTGAACCTCGATCCGACCTAGCCACGAATCTTGATCTAGGGCCTTGAATCTCGATTTAAGGTAATCAAAAGTTACCAATTGAAAGACTCGAGGGGTCACGAGTGATAGCCTTTGGCCGGAGCAATGAAGAGTTATGGCAGGACTTTCCAGGTGACATTGGGATGTAGAAGGGATTTTAGAACGAAGGATGGAAAATTAGTAATGTCTTGCTCACAAAGGTAAGGCCCAGTTTGAGGAAAAGAACAAAAGACGGCTGTAATAGTACAATTGCCTTTACAGCCTGCCATTTTTGGATCATTCAACAGGGAAGGTACACTTGGCAGCATCTCCAGAAATGTAGGGATTAGGGCAACATGATCCAAGGGAAACAGGACCCTGACCCGTTTTTAGACTGGAGGCCCCAACACTATACGACCTAAATGACCTAAGGCTATAAAAGGAGACACGGACAAAAGAGGAAAGATATAGAGAACTGACGGCAGCTTCTTCCCTACCTTTGCTCAAATTCTCTTACTGGACTGGTTTTCTCTCCCTTCTTCCACCCTCTGCATTCCTTACATTGTTTAGTGGTATATTCCCAGATCTCTTTGACTTTTCCAAGACCCATGAGAAACAGGTATCTACATTTGGCGACTTCACTGAGGATTATCCTTGCAAGACGATGAATCCAGATGAGGTTCCTCCTCCGGCACAGGCAGAGGTGTCTGCCGTTGGAGCCACCAACCACAGAGCCACGAGTGCCAAGGCCACCAGTGCTAGAGAGACTAGCACAAAGGCTACTAGCACCAGGTCTCATTCCTCAAGATCCAGACACAGATCCAGCACTGATGCTGTTTTGGAGGCCATGCAGAAGATGAACCACCAATTGATGACCCAAATGGAAAGGTTCGGAGAAGCTCTCCATATTCTTGATCAGAGGGTTTCGACGACACCACCCATGATTCAGACAGAACCCCCTTCAGCGACTCAGATGGTATTCGCTACTACCACTCCAGCTAGCATGACTTTGCCCCCACGGTGTAAGCAACAGATCATGAGGTCACCAAGAGGCCAAGATCGTAATGTAGACCTACTATAGCAACCCACTCCAGAGCCTTACAACCCTGTATTATAGGTAACCCCTGAGGCTCCTCATACTTTCCCGTTTCGAGGCAAAGAACCCATGTTTTGCTCCCCGCCTACTTATACGCAGGCGAACCCTAAAGCACATCGTCCTCTCCCCTCCTACTCCTACTCTGCCCCAAAAGAGGTGTTCACGTGCTCTGAGGTATGTGACCTCTTCAAAAAGGACACATTAACCTCTCACGCCTTGGACGTTGGCAGCAAACCTCTTTACCCTCTTGCTATTGCACAGACCCCATACCCGCAGGGATATTTGGTCCCCAAATTCCCACAATTCAATAGCAAGACCGGTGATCCCAGGGAGCATGTTATGCACTTTGTCAAGGCTTTGGCCATTTCGGTGATAATCATGTGGTTCGTCTACACGAATTTTCCAAGTCTTTAACTGATCGTGCATACCGTTGGTATTTCAATCTCGAGCCAGACTCTATCAACACTTGGGAGCAACTGAAAGAGCATTTCCTCACTAAGTTTTTCCAGGCTGAAGAGCATGTCACCACATTGTCTCTCACAAAGGAGGCTCAAGAAGATAATGAGGACATCCTCACCTTCATCAACCGATTTAGTGATCATGTAGGCGAGTGCTTCAAAAGCAGCAATGAAATGGACCTAGTTGATATTTGTATCCAGGGCATGCTACAAGTTTATAAGCTCCATCTCGTTAACCTAAGAATTACTAGCTTTGGCAAGCTCAAGATC